TTTCTTGTCAGTTCCCACACGACTCCCTCGACAACTGGCTCATGACCAAACATATCACATATACGCCAATCATAGTGGATGAGTCGAGTCTCCCCCTGCTCACGCAGGCACCAACTCGGCTTCTCACTGGTCACACACTAATTAGCGGGTAGTAATTATGGCCCACGCGCTAGAAAAAAGTTGTCGATCCGTATCCATGATAGGGAGTGACCACGCTCAGCGCGCGGCAAGCGGATCGAGTAGCAACCTTCTCCACACCCTACAGATTACCTTCCCTTAATGGACTCTTCTCACGTTGTTCCGACAGGTTCCCCCTTCTCCCTTATCTTGCCGTCATTGCAGCAGCTGTAATCATGTCACGTGAGCGTGCGGACAACGACTGACACACAAGTGCCGGTACTTTACGCGAGCGTGCAAGAAGCAGTTGACATCAACCGCACTCTGCAAGCTCGCGTCCTACTTCGCTTTGCACACAATCTCCCCTTCCGCTAACTCTCTTCTCACACACGAGGCTACGTCTTGCACACTCTCGTAACCACCCTGCGATTGCCTGTCTCTCCCCTCGTTGACCTCTCCGCTCTCTCAAACTGCCACGCGTGTGTTGGGTGTACTGCCCACTCCCAGTCACACACCTCTCGTCGACCGCCCCCTTGCTCCTCCCAGGGCGCGCCACGTGTCAAACGAGTATTCCGCGCATGTGCCCGTACCACTGCACTTTCCTCAGCCTCCCTGTTTCGGGTTTTGTCCCGTTCACGCTTTTGACCGCGCGTTCTTTCAGACCTGTCTTTTCCCCCTGCTCGGTTTCTCACCCGTCCCGCGACCCCGGGGTGTCAGTTGCCTCGAGCTAGCCTCAAGTCCTTCCTCCACCGGCCTCGCGGGTCGATGATGCCTCTCGATCTCGCCTGGTCTGTTCCAGGACCTGAGGTCCGTCTCCTGATCCGCGTCACTCATATCACTTTCCCCACCTGAGTCTCTGTCCTGATGGACCTGTTCCAGGTCCGCTGTGTCCATCGAGGTCTCAGTTTCGTGGTAAGCCACCGTTATCCGCAGCCTTGCCGTCACTCCGTCCCGTCTGCAACGTCTCTCCGCTCGGTCTCTCGCCTCTGAAATCGCGTCCTTCAGCTTCGGGTTAGTCCGCATTTCCCCTTCTCTTGCTCCCTCTACGTTCATCTTCAGTACCAGCTCATCTCCACCGTCATAGTTGAGTATGACGGTGATCCAGGGCCCTTTCCCGGACACAGACTTTGAACGGGCCTGGTGGTACCAGTACCCTGGCCTATAGCCGTGCAGTGCCATGACCGTCTTCTGAACGGACAGAGTCCTGGCCGTAAGCACAGGTTGCTGACAACTGCTAAACCCCCTTTCAGCTGATTGGTGCCGGCACAACGAAGTGCCACCGCGAAGCAGTCTGCCAATCCCTTCGGCTGATTAGAGTTGGCGCAGCAAAAAGCCACCGCGAAGCAGTCTGCCAATCCCTTCGGCTGATTGGAGCTGGCGCAGTGAAGTGCCACCGCGAAGCAGTCTACCGATCCCTTCGGCTGATTGGCACTTGATAGCCCAGTCTCAAAACTCTTCCTCCTTTTTATACCTTCGACTGTATGCTGTGACCCCTGGGTCCTAATCGAGGTACCTTCTGAAACTCTACTTCATCAGTGCCCTGGAGGCCATAGAATAAACAAACTGAAATAAGTCAAAATACAAAATTCAGCAAAGTCTCGGCAATCACCTGAGACTGCAAGCTTTTCGCAACCGATCCCCGTCACTTCATCTCACCACGAAGCGACTGCCACTCAAATGGTGATCCCATAACGGGGTACCGGCCTGCTTACTCCCTCCTTCAAAATTCGCCGTCGTCCTGTTACTGTTGGGTGCCCGTGTCCGATGGCAAGGAGGGGGCTTATGACCCTCCTCAGGGGTGATAAGCCTCCTACCGATGCGGCCGCGGGTCGCCCTCCTTTTGGGGTCTTACCGCACGGCTCTAGATCGGGGCCCACCCGCAGACAGCACTCGTAAGGTCGACCTACTTTTGCCTGTGGACCGCTAGCTCGAAATTCGAACCGTTGGCCTTCCCGCGAGAAGACAGGCCAACAGTTAGAAAATCGAAAATAGAAAAACGAAGTAATAATAATAATAATAATAATAACAATAATAGCCGTGAAACAAGAATGAAAAAAAAAAAAAAACGTAAAGTCACAGTGGCCCAAAACCACTGGATTTCCCCCGAACTAAAACAAATTCATACTCGACGTTTTATTATTTTTCTTTTCTTTCTTTCTTTTCTTTTCTATTTTGACAGTGACTTTCGCCTAGTGCACCTAACCCATAACTCAACAGAAGGTCACTCGGCGCGCAGTAGAAAAGACTGCGCCGGTCCCTTCACCTTCGCGTCCCAGGGCGAGCCCGACGGCTACCACGACCACAGGCCGGTAGTGCTCTGCTGTACAGCAGGGCGTCGAGCCTGCGTGGACCAATGGAAGCCCTTTGGCGCACCCCTTTTGCTGAGGGCTACGCCACCAGGACTGGTCCGCGCCGGGAACAGTCAAGGAACCAAGCCTACAGCACGAGACGAGCCTAGGGAACAATAAACAGGGACATGGGACTGGCACTAAGCGAGGAGGTGGTACACAAAGGAGGGTCGGGACACCGCGCCCTCACATAATACCAAACCCCCACCCAGTGTCCCCGCTGGGTCAAAAATGCATCACGTTTTCATCATAAATTCGGCGCGAGCAGCAGTACTCCTCATTCATTACTACTCGCGACTCACTACGGAGCCCGCACCGTAGCTCTACACAGTCCATTTTCCATTTTTGCTTTAGCGTTCAGTCTATCTCTCAGTGCTCGTTCTCTTTTTTAGCACTCATTGCTTTCTTCAACGCTTGCCTTCCCCCTGCGCTCACCTCTCTTACTATCTGCGCTCGACTTCACTCTTGGTTCTCACTTTCCTTCGGCCTTCACAGGGCGTAATCCCTATATTTAGCGCAATCACTCTCCTCTTTTCCCTTTTATCAGTTCCCTGCTTTCGTTCTCCCTTTTGTCTATCTGATCACCGTAAATTTATTTTATATAGCACCCGCTTTTATCATAGATTTTACTTAGTGCTATTATCCTCTGTCTCTCACCTCTCCCTTAGCAGTCTTCTCACTCTCTATCATGCCTGAAGCACGCCGTGGATAGGGTAGAGGAAGGGGAGGTAGGACAGGGAAAGCTAAAGAGGAGCCGCCGGCTAGGGCACGACGCAATTATAGTTCAGAGGAGGAGTAGGAGGAAGAACCTAGAGGCTACGCGCACCTGAGGCCCTACCCGCGTTATCCATCATCAGTGTGGTACGAGAAAGCTCCATCCCCAGAAAGGATGGAATACCTCCGAAAAAAATTTGATGCGCGCTATAGTACACCCAGTGCTTCTTCTCCCCCTTATATCCCCAGAGCTCCTTCCACCCCTGCCGTAAGTAAGGCCATAGTGCCATCTCCACCGTCCCCTGTCCCATTTGTTGTTTCGGGACCTCATCATCTTGGCCATTGTATTCTGTTCAGTATCTTTTTCCTTCTCTTTCTTTTCCAGTTAGAGTTCATGGCCATCTTTTATGTCCTATATAAACGCGACTTCTTCTCAGCCTTTTGAATCCGATTTTTGGCTCACAAAATTTTCAATCTAGTCCACTTCATAGCGTCCCAGGCCTGAGAGTTTGGCTTCCTCGGGCCAAGGACGTCGGTTCCTCGTGAACCAGGCCGCTTGCCGGCTACCAAATAAACTTAAGAAGGATTATGTTTCAATTTTCTTTGCTTGCAGCTGATTCTGACTTCTTATCATTATGAGGTCTGTCCTCACCTTGAACTGTACAACAAGGAAAAGTTACCTTGACTTCCACCTCAGCTGAAAAGATCAAAACATCATTCGTCTGATATCACTACTTGAGTCACTTGTTCAGCCTGCCATGCTGAAGGTAGAGCATACCAAACCCTCTTTTCTGCTTTCTGGCCTGAGCAAGATATCTGAAATGTTGATCAGGCAGCATATCACAACCCACAAGCAGAAAAGAGGGTTTGGTATGCTCTACCTTCAGATGGGTCCCTTCGCTCAACTGAGAATTTTTTCTTTTCTTTTTCCACGAGACGCCCCGTCAGTCCCAATGAAGTACTGAAATGTTGATCTTAGAGAGGTCCCTTCCCTCATCCGAGCGAAGACAGACCCTTAGCCAAAGGAACGAAGTCCCTCTACTGACCGCTCTTGGTCAAGTAAAGTTGAACTTTCTTATGCCTGCCTTCATTTGAATCTCTTGAATGAACATTTTACTCAGAGACTCGAAGTCCTTCTGCTGATAACTCTTAGTCAGACAACTGAACTTCTTCATGCCCACTATGCTCTTCTCTTTATCTTAGGATAGTACTGATTATATCTTTTGATGTGCCACAACCATGAGCTTCTCAAATTTTTGACACTGTGTCAATACTTATGAAACCGATTTTACAGTTATTTCCCCATTCTCAGGGACTTGACACTCATGGAACGACTGTAGCACTGCATCAGAAGACCTGACTTAGTCGTTTTGCTGAAATACTGAATGAAAAGACTTGCTGAAAACTGAGATATTGAAACTGAGAGGTTGAAACTGAAAATTGAAATTAAATTACCGAAACTGAAATGATGAAACCGAAGTTCTGAAACTGAAATGTTGAATCTTAAATGCTGAATTGACTATGCATGAATGATCTGAGTCCACTGAAACTGAGTCTTGCCGTCTCCGCGTCTCACTGTACTCTTTCTCTCAGTCCTCCATGACGGTTCTCTCACTTGGATGATTGATTTCTTTTTCCTCTCTTTGAAGTCACTGTAGGGATCAAGTCAGGATCTCTGAAGATAAACTTACGAAGTCTTGACCCTAAAACCATGCCGTGCACTCTGGATCAATCCATCTCTGATATCTCATAAACTTTGCCTTTTGCTTCTCTTGTAATTCTGTAAGGACCAAGCCATCTGGGCTCCAACCTTTTAGTCCATTGTGTCTCAAGGGAACTGTCAAACAGAAGGACAACATCTTCAATCTTTAATTTCTCTTTTCTTATATATCTTTTCTTGTTCCATCTTTCTTGATCCGATAGTCTGTTGGATGCCATCCTCTCTGCTGCATCCATCACTGCCTGATCAACTTCAGATATCTGCCTCATTCTGATCTGAAGGAGTTCTGAAATAGAATAATCTCTGTCGCTTTCTTGACTTGACCATGTCTTGACAATACTCTTTATTGGTAGCGTAGCATAACGGCCATACCACAGTGTAAAAGGTGCATAACCAGTTGTTCTCTTGACTGTTATATTATCAGCATATACAGCAGCTCTTAATACCTTTGGCCAGTTGCTGAGTTTCCCTTCACACCACTTGGCCAATGAATCTTTCAAAGTTTTGTGGCCTCTTTCAATATTTGCATTCACTTGAGGATGGTAAGTAGTCACATATCGAATTTTGGCTCCCAATCTGAGTGTAATTCTTCTGACAACCTCATTTCTAAATTCTGATCCCCTGTCTGAGACAAATTCTCTGATAAAAGGATACCTGAGATAGACTTCGTCTATCCAGTCTGCCACTTGCTCGACCGTCTTCCTTTTCAAAGTTTTTGCCTCAACATATCTAGAGAAATTATCTCTCATGTTTAATATGTATCTCATCCCACCCTTGCCTGGAGGCATAGTGATGAGATCTAAATGAATTCTACTACCTGGCTCTACCATGATTTTAGGGAACAAGGGCTCAATCATCCTTGTGGTAGACGTCTTTTGATATAAGACTCATGATTTATATTATCTAAAAATCATGTCTCTCATGCAAGGTCAGAAGTAGAGTTTGACAGTCTTGAAGTAGGTAGCCTCAACAGCCCTGTGGCCACCGGCAACTCCTTCATGTAGAGCAGCGACTATCTCTAATTGTCTCTCTTTACCACAGACCACTCTTAGCGGAGGTAAACCTCCCTTACCATCCACAAAGAGGTGTCCCCTCTTTAATCTGAATTTCTTCCTTCAATCCTTACAGTAGTACTCTCTTAGTTGTTCCTTTTTCATCTTTTTGTCAATCTCTTGATAATTTTCATCATATTCTTCAAAGAAGAGGAATATCTCTTCTTCCTTCTTCTCACTCTCTTCTTCTTCCTTTGAACCCGAACTTTCTGCAATCCCATAAGCATCCACTGCTGCAGCATTGACTTTAGCATACCAATCATTTGGTTCATCTTCCTCTTCTTTCCCAAGAACCGATTCGTAAATG